ATATGCTGAGAATGAAGCACTGATAAGGGCAGAAGGAACTTGGTTTTAGTGATGGAAGCATGTATGGAAACACCAAAAAACACTTTTTAAAAAAAATGTCCATTTTAAATCAATTCTACTTAAATCAAATTGTGAAAAAGGTTTAAAGTTAATGCCCCAATAATTTTACTGTTTTATTATGAAAGTGCTTGAGCATATTTGGTACTGGTGTATCAGCATATTGGAAATCTTATATAATAAAGAGGCAATATGCAAATTGACCATCAAGCCTTCATACAAGATAGCCGCCCCCATGTGGTCACAAGATGGCCGCTACAACATGGCCAGCAGTGGAGGGCAGTTGTGGATGACCAGGCCTGCTGGGGAGGGCAGTTGGGTGGGACCAGGCCTGCAGGGGAGGGCAGTTAGGAGTAACCAGGCTGGCAGGGAGGGCAGTTAGGGGCGATCAGGCCAGCAGGGGAGGGCAGTTGGGGGCAATCGGGCTGGCAGGGCAGCAGTTAGGCGCCAATCAGGCTGGCAGGCAGGCGAGCGGTTGGGAGCCAGCAGTCCCAGATTGTGAGAGGATGTCCAACTGCCGGATGTCTGACCAGCAGTCAGATATCTCCCAAGGGGACCCGGATTGGAGAGGGTGCAGCCTGGGCTGAGGGAAACCCCCCCCCTCCCCCCCAGTGCACGAATTTTGAGCACTGAGTCTCTAGTAAAATATAATGATGTGATACTGCAATATCTTATTATGCCCATGTTCAGTGCCATCATTTGGGCAGTTTGAACCTCAAAACAATGAGAGTACTTACACCAGGGATATTAACAAAGATTACAAATGTAGGCTTCACTTAATGCATTACTGAATGCTTAGACTTAACATATTTAACAATTCAAATTAAACCTGTAAGTATATAGTACAAGTGGGTTTAAATTGTACACGGGATAAAAATTGAGAAAGAAAAATTGAGACTGTAAATGATTTGATACTGGTCTTGTCAGGCAATACCCTTGTAGTCCCTCAGATTGTTTCTCAAAGACAACAAATACATGGCATCACACTTCACCCTCTTGAGCCCAATCCCAAGGTGCTGAGGCCATGGCTTTGCACCACCTGCTGCACACTGTTCTTTGAACAACACTTCTCTCACACAGCTTCATTCCCAGAGGCACAACTTCAAAGGTAAGGCAAATTTATAAGGACAAATTGTTTCCTAATCATCTTCTTTTCCAAAATTATAGTTCACCATCTCCATAATCTATTTCTCCTTACCATTCTCCCTTACTAATGCCAGTGGAGATTTTGAAGCCTGGGTAACACTGATGTATGCTATCTCATTCCTATCAACCAGTGTGTCAGCCCCAACAACAAAAGGCAGGTGGTTAGTTAAATGGCACCTAAGCTCTATACCTAGAATATAGTATAAAAACACCTTCTTTACAGGTAATCACTCTAAAATTCACCTTATTGGATCATTGAACCACCACCACAAATGGACTTTCCCATCATTCACTCCTGACTCAATGTTAGGGTGCCGTGGCCATGAATTCACATTCCCTCTGCAAGTGTACATCACTCTTTACAAACCTCTCTCACACCTGAACTCCCTCAGCCCCAGCCCTCATAGTCCTCTCCTTAGCCTTCTACTTATTACTCATCATGTGTGTGCCAGAGAACGCTTGCCAACATCTCTCACTTAACGCCACTCAAGTCTCAGCCCCGATGGCCCTCTGCACCATGCCCAGTGAGTCTCACAGATGACCACTCAAGCCTCGAAGCTAATCCACAAGACTGACTGCAACTCCCCACATACAGGCCACACCAAGGGACACAACAAAATCCTGGTGTTTAGAGAAGTTAATATGTATCAGCTCTAGTCTCATCTTATTTGAATAACTCTTCAGCCTCCAATTAATCTCAAGTCCACTCATCTTTTAAAGGGTTGGCCACTGAAAAACCATGATCTCTCCCTGACACTCTACATGACAACTTCTGTCCCTATGCTGTGTTGTGACACCCACCTCCCACTAACAGTGGCCCCAGCAGGAAAACCAGTCCTCAGGCTCACTCTGTCCCTTCTGAGTTACTACTACCATTACCAACCTGACCATGATTCCCTGTATTAAACTGATGGACAGTCCTGGCTGATGTGTCTCAGTTGGCTGAGCACTGACCCATGCACGGGTTAGGTCACATGCCTGGGTTGTGGGCTAGATCCATAGTAGGGGTCACGCAAGTGCCAACCAATCCTTGTTTCTTGCTCATCACTGTTTCTCCCTCTCCTCTCCCTTCATTCTATATCATTCATTCATATATGTATATAGATATATATATATATATACATATACATAGATTTTTTTTTTTTTTTTTTGTTAAAGCCTGCAGATTTCAGAATCAGCTCACTCTTCACTCCAAGCCTTTGCATATTCTGGAACCAATGCCCTGGAGGAACTCCCACTCATTACACTGGTTGCTAAATACAAGGTCCACGTCATGAAGCTCTAGCCATGGCCGTAGGAGTCTGGGCTTAGTGTCTGTTCAAAGTACCCAGGTCCAAGGGCTACAAGAGCAGCTGGACAGTCCCAGGACTCTACTCTCTCAGAGGCCACAAGTGTGTGAGGCCCTGAAATAAGCTCCACAAAACTGTACACCTAATTGATTCTGCATTTGCAGGAATTCGTGGAAAGAAAATGGTCTAGCCTTGACTGGTTTGGCTCAGTGGATAGAGCATCAGCCTGAGGACTGAAAGGTCCCAGGTTCGATTCCAGTCAAGGACATGTACCTTGGTTGCGGGCACATCCCCAGTAGGGGGTGTGCAAGAGGCAGCTGATCGATGTTTCCCTCTCATCGATGTTTCTAACTCTCTATTCCTCTCCCTTCCTCTCTGTAAAAAAATCAATAAAATATATTAAAAACAAAAAAGAAAATGGTCTACTGAGAGCCTGACAACCGCCACCCTGATCTATGGGCTCAGGCAGCTCAGTGCCCTTGCCCAGCCCAGAGGCCAGGTCCCCTCCTCAGTGCTCACTCTGCCAGTTCCCTTATCATTTACAGGACTTCCCCTTCCTGTCCACAGCTGCTGTCCTCTGTCTTCTAGGCTGTACTTCCTCAGAGCAATATTAGGAAAGTTAGAACCCTGCCTCAGAATATGTCCCTCTTTTTTTCACAGCCATCTGTTATTAGGTCTCATCAAATAATTGAATCGACACCCACTCCCCTGGGAACTGACCTTAATGCCATTTCACAATGGACATTCTACTTGCTTAGACCACATTCCACTTGCTATAAGACTGTTATCTCTCCCCTCCAGAGTTTCCCAGAATCCAGACCTAAACAGAGAATTCTCTGCCCAGAAAACGCCCACCCTAGAGTCCTTTAAAATCTCTGACTCCCCGTCTTTGAGTGATGGTGCCGTTTATTAGGTCAAGATGACCTAATAAATTCATAATTCTTTACCCTTTTTGGCCTCGTGTGTTCCTCCTTCGGTGATCCTAACATTTGGTGGGGAAACCTGGGAGGGTTCTATGGGGACAGGGAGCCATCGCCCCAGTCACCCTAAGTTTGCTACTTGGACAGCAGCAGCCAGTGGCAGCTCAACCTGGGCTTATCTCCAAATCCTACTCGGTGACTCGACTGCCAGCCTGGATTAGCCCTCCTTCCCGAGACAGCCAAGGATTAAGCCGGACCGGGAACCGCTCCTTCTCCACTGCTGACCCTCCATCCCACACCAGCCAATCTTCTCTAGGTGAGTGACAATCCACAATTTCCCTCGTCTGGGGTCTTCTGCCCACTCTCTCTCACTGATTCTCCAAAGTCTCTTATCTTAAAAGTCCTAGCGCTAGGCCAGAAGACTCCTCATCCATTTGGCTTTGGGTCCCTCTTGAGTGAGGGCACCAAGTCCAGAGTGTCACTCTCATTTCTCAGGAAATTGGTTTAGCTGGGGAGATGCCTGACCTAAACAGTCACCTTTGGGCCTGTGGCCTGTCACTCACCCTTCCTCTCTTGTGGGCCACACCACACTCCCACTGCACACTCACGGGGGAGATCATCCCAACCACCTCATTTTCTTTTGTAACAATGTTTGGTCATAATATAAACTAGATGATAAGTCTCAATGGCCTAAAAATGGCACTTTTAATTTTGACACATTGCACAATTTAGATAATTGCTGTCACCCCATGGTTCCACCTTTCCAGATTAAAACCCATCTGGAACACCTCCATCACATGTGCTGGAGTCCCCTGTTACAGCCACCTGGTTGGGCCCACCAGACTCCACCTTACCCTCATCTATCGTTCACCCAATGCAGATGTAGCCCCCAATAATCAGTCTTTACCTGTCCCCGTAACCCACCATATCCGACTCAAAAGGGCAGTTCAGATAATCCCTCTCCTTATAACCCTGGGCATCACAGCAGAGGTTGGAACTGGCACAGGGGCCTAACCACTGCTCTATCCTATTTTGACATCCTGTCTCAGGACCTACAAGAAAGCTCTGGATGCCAGCAAGGGGCAAAACTGGGAAACAAGAACCTCGCCCCCAGGGTACCTACCCTCCCCTAGCAAATAACTCGTCAGGCAACTAAGACCACTGACCTTTTCCTCCCTAAGGATCACATCTAGGCCTCAGTTGCATTTCAGCTCCAGGCCCAGAAAAGCAGCAAAAGCAGACAAGTGAGGCTGTGGCAGCCTCGGGACCAGCTTCTGCCTCCCAAGTTCTTCAACAGGACTGTTTTCGAGCCTTCCAGATGGCCTAATAAATCCATAATTCTTCTCCCTTTTGGGCCCTAGTGTTCTTCCTTCCGCAACCCTAGTATCTATGGCCCCAGCGTTCTGAGAGTGAAAGTAAAACTCCTCCTGCAAAACCTCACCTCATGTCTCTGCTGCCTTTACACCCACAACAGGCCCGGGGTCCCGAGTCCTCCCTGCGCAGTCGCACCATCACGTCCTTACAAGGCGGCACTGCAGCCTTTCACCCTCTTCCCCCATCAGCCATGTGTCACCCACGAGGGACTCACCATTCTGAGCGCTGGGACCTGGGCGGCGGGACCTGAGAGGCCGGTCCCCAAGGCTGGAGGGTGAAATGGGGTCAGGCTGCGGGGACGCTGTGAGCAGAGAGGAGTCCGGGAGGCACGGGGACCCCAATCTCGGGCTGTTGGGGCTCAAAGAGCCTCAGACACACCCCGCACGGCAGGCGCGCTGCCTCCCAGGACTCCTCCTCCTCAGGACCAGCGCCCTGAAGCCTGTGACTCTGTGGAGACCTGAGAGGTTAAAACGACCATCAAGAGGAGGAAGCAGGAAGTCCCACCCTAACCGGATGCGCAGACACCAAAATGCCCTTTAGCTCCGCCCACGCGGGCGCATTTCCTTCTGGGTAATGTAGTTTTTCCAACCGCCCAGAATCCTAGCCAATGACTTAGGTGTTGTGTGCCCAGCAAGTAATACCTGAGGAGGAAGATGGGACCAGAGGCCTGGCTAACTGGCACAAACTGATGAATCTCAGAGGGAAGAGGGTGGGGAGAAATGCAAGAAATCCACCAAAGGATATAGACACAGGGGAAATGGAATACATCTGTAATATTATCAACAATAAAAAATACATGTATTTTTTAAATAATGTAGCCCAGCTGGTGTGGCTCAATGACTGAGCCTCAACCTATGAACCAGGAGGTTAGGATTCTGTTTTAAAATTTATTTGTTTATTTATTTATATTTTAAAATTATTTATTGTTTAACATATTATATATAGTATTACATGTCTCCTTTTTCCTTCATTGAGATCTCCCCAGCCACCCCCACCCCACAACACATGCCCTCACCCCCCATAGTGTCTTTGTCCATTGGTTATGCTTATATGCATACATACAAGTGTTTTGGTTGGTCTCTTAACCCCTCTCTCCCCTGATTTCCCTCTGAAGTTTGACAGTGTGTTTGATGCTTCTATGTCTCTAAATCTATTTTTGTTTATCAATTTATGCTGCTCATTACATTCCACAAATGATGAGGTCATGTGATACTGGTTCTGTTCCTGGTCAGGGCACATACATGGGTTGCAGGCTCAATTCCCAGTGTGGGGGTGGAGTCCAACAGGAGGCAACTAATCAGTGATTCTCATCATTGATGTTTTTATCTCTCCCTCTCCTTCAAAACTCTAAAATCAACAAAAATATTTTAAATAAAGTATGTACATATATGCATAGCCCATGGACATGGGCAATAATGTGGTGAGGGCCTAAAAGCAGTGGGGGCAGGGTAGAGGGAGTAAAGGGGGGAGGGGTATGGGGGAAATTTGGAACATCTGTAACAGAGTCAACAATAAGATAGAACGGTGTGCACAGCTGGCAAGCTCAGTGGTTGGGAGTGGATCCAAGAATCACGATGTCACTGGTTTGATTCCAGGTCAAGGCACACACCCGGGAGGCAGGGGGCGCTCCATCCCAGTAGGGGGAAAGACTGATTATTGGGGGCTACATCATGATTGATGTTTCTTCCTCTCCCTTTCTCTCTAAAAAAATCAATAAAGACATTTAAAACATGAACACTGTTAAGATTGATTTGATTCAACAACAGCAAAGTGAGTGTGGGCCATCACATTTTCTTCCAAGTCTTGTAAGCAAATTCATGCCTTGCTCTGTCTTTATAGAGGATGTCCCAGACATTACTGTGTTGTGGAACAGGAACCAGCCTGGAGCGGGTCTGCCTCAGGTTGGCCTGCCGTGTTTGAGTTCTTGAATTCATGCAGAAAAGATTTTACAACACAAATTCACAGATTTTGAGGGAATATTTATTAAAACTGGGGAAAATGAAAAAAAACACAACAACAACTAGGGCTTAGGATGGAAAAAGGAACAGAAGGGAGACTAGGCAAGGGTCCTTTGGCTCCTAGAAACATTGTGGAAAATAAATGAGCCAAAGGGAGGCTGCTGTGAGCTCACTGGAGAATCAGAGAAAAGAAGGCCTTGAGCACAGGTTCAGAGGGTTAACCCGAGATGGGCTGTCGCTGCTCATTGTTGCCTCAGTTGCAGGTCGAGCGGGATCCCTTAAGCTTAGGAGAGCCTGGCCGGTGTGATTCAATGGTCGAGTAGTGATCTATGAACCTGGAGGTCATGGTTGGATTCCCAGTCAGGACACATGCTCAGGTGGTGGGCTGAATCCCCGTTGTATTACATGCAGGAGGCAGTCTATCAGTGATTCTCTCTCATCATTGATGTTGTTCTCTCTCTCCTCCCTTCCTTTCTGAATCAATAAAAACATATTTTTGAATGTATGTTTTAAATCAATTATACTTCCATTAAAGTTAAAAAATGATTAAAACTTGCCACTTCCCAATTATTTTACTATTGTATTATGAATGTTCTTGAGCATGTTTGTACCTACTGTATCAATAACTTGGAAATAAAATATGATTTGCTACTGAAATATCTTAGCAGGCCCATGTTCGTTGATATCACTTTGGAAGTTTGAAAGTGATGATAATGGAAGTATGTACAACAGAAAATTTGACAAATACTACAAACCTTGACTTCACTTAATATACTATTGAATGCTTTAACTTAAAATGAATGGTGGAGAATGGTAGCAACGTTGTTAATCTTGTAAGAGTATCATGCAAGTGGACTTTAAATTGCACATAGGATACAATTTGAGAAATACAATTTTCTTTCCAGTATTCAAAACATATAGTTCCAAATGGTAAGAAGTCAGTTGAGTCCTTGAGGAAAGAGTGAAGTGAAAACAGATGTCTTAGATGCTGAACTGTCTTCCTATTAATTAAATCATAAATTCATTTTAAAAATTGGCAAAAGTGAGCAGACTTTTCAAAAAAAAGAGATAAAGACAGTGTCAATAAATGCATAAAGAAATGCTCATCATAAAAATTTCTTAGGGAAATGGATTTAAAACAAAACATCAATGATGAGAGAGAATCATTGATCCACCGCATCCTGCACGCCCCCTACTGGAGTTTGAGCCCACGACCTGGGCATGTGCCCTTTATCTGAACTGAACCCGGGGCCTTTCAGTTCACAGGTCGACTCTCTTTCCACTGAGCCAAGCCAGCTAGGGCCTAATTTACTCTCTTTCAGGAAACATTAAGAATTATGGTGCTGCCCTGCTCAGTGGTTCAGTGGGTTGGAGCATCCTCCCGCAAAGCACCCCCCTTCCTAAAACCATGGCCTGTTTGAATCCTCCTAAGGGCACATAACTAGGTTGCAAATTTGATCTTTGTTTGGAAAGCATAGAGGAGGCATTTGTTTCATATTTCCTTTCACATCGATGCTTCTCTCTCTCTCTCTCTCTCTCTCTCTCTCTCTCCACATAACTAGGTTGCAAATTTGATCTTTGTTTGGAAAGCATTTGATTCATGTTTCCTTTCACATCGATGCTTCTCTCTCTCTCTCTCTCTCTCTCTCTCTCTCTCTCTCTCTCTCTCATCAATAAACAATTCCCCAGGAGCAAATTAAAAAAACTAAGGTGTTGATGTTTCAAGTACATACGGTTAAATCTAAAGCTATCTCTCTAGAACAGTTATCATCATCTGAACTCTGTGGAAGTCTGTCTCCTTTCATGTAAGAGGCTAAAAGAATCAATATCACGGATTTTAGACAAACCCCACACTATTAGTGTCATAGTCACAATCCCCACCTTGTTTTTATTTCAGCTCTAAAATCTGATTGTTTCTGATCTGTTTATTTTTTTTTAAACTTAGGTTAGTCTTTGAGTGATAATATTAACTTTCCCACGGGAGAAGCTGATTCTGAGGGATTCCAACATAACTTTATACACTGGAGTGAGTAGAACCCATGGTGAACTAGAAACTGTGCTTTCCCTAGTGAAACCCATCTCTATATATAAAAGTCTATGCAACCAAATGACTGGTTGACCGGTTGCTATGACATGCACTGACCACCAGGAGGCAGATGCTCAATGCAGTAGCTGCCCCCTGGTGATCAGTGTGTTCCCACAGCCAACCTCCTGCGGATCACCAACCTCCCACTGTTCCTCTTGCTGGCCGGCCGATCCTGACTGAGACTGGGCAAGAAGGCCCTGATCGGCCTGACCGCTGGCTAGGCTGATGGGCACCATCCATGCACAAATTCGTGCACTGGGCCTCTAGTGTTTTAATGTCTATAAATACGGCCAGTGACACAGGAGGCACGAGTCAGCCAACTTGCAATTTTTCTTAAAGCAGAGAATCCTCTGGCTATCACATGGAGATTTAGTCTTGGGATTCTAAAGATGACAACTTTAGACAGATATATTGTAATGTCTAAGGATCCTCTATCTCAAATAGTATTTCTTCTATTGCATATCCTGCCCCATGGGTCCTCCAATTTTTTGAAACTCTGAGGAAGCTTACCATCATTATTGTCTCCTTGTACATTTCTGTGTTTGTCATTTTCCTCTGGAGAACTATCCTTGTGGTGAGTAAACTAAAGCACCTTACAGATGCACTTTTACTCATAAATAAGCAAACATGCTTAAGCCGCCGGATTCTTTATGTGCTTTCGGGATTGTAAATTTCCCTCTGGCAATATTTCTGAAGGAGCTGCCCATCAGCCCTTCTGAAAACAGCCTGGGGCTGGAGGGAAACTGTGAGGCCTCCTGAGGAGAAGGCCAAGTCCTGCCACAGCGCCCACAAGCCAGCCAGGACCCCCCTTTCTAATTTCAGTTTCCAAATCAGCCACAGTGACCTCCCTTCACCTCCCACATGGGGGGAGGGGGGCATGCTCCTAACAGGCCTTCCACCTGGACTCTGCCACCCCTTCCCGGATTGTCTCAGGGAGGCCCCCACTGACCACCACTGGCTTCACCTTGTGCCTGAGCTCCTGTCACCTGTCACAGCTGTCCTGTTCATTGTCTGTGGGCTGTCCTCCACTAGGACTCCAGCTCCTAAGGGAAGGGGACTCTGTATCTCCAGAGTCTGAAACAGTTGGGTCAACACTGTCCATGATTCGGTCCTTACAGGTCTCAGCTGTGCCCACCCTTGGCTGCTGCCTCTATATCCAGTCTGATTCCAATTCTCATTCCTAGAGCCTTCTCTCAGCCCACACACTCAAGGACCCTGCCCCTCTCCAGCCCTGTCCCAGACCCCAACCTCTCTGCTCCTTCAACCACACACCCCAGCAGCACACTGTGCCCAGAGTTCAGGGTCCATCAGCTCACATCAAGGAGCATGTCTCGCCTTCAGTGGGAACATCCCAGGCACAGCCAGGAAAGAGTGTAGAGGGGTGCGCTGTGCAGGCAGTAAAGCAGTCAGTGCAGCAGGGTGGATGCTTACC